ACACATGTATATATATGTATATGTATATATGTATATATTTATTTATTATATATATATATATATATATATATATATATATATATATATATATATATATATATATGTATATATACACACATGTGTATATGTATATATATAATTATATTTGTATAATTGCATATTTTGTCTGTGTGTAGGTTTATATATACCACTATTTACATATAGATTCCTACATATATATTAATGTCTTGTACATATTTGTTTCATTTATTTTTATATAATCCTAAAGTGTAGATTTCATTTAGCCCAGTTCCTCCGAGTGGTCTTTTAATGTGCAAGCACCCACCCGTAGCGGCCTGGGCCCTGAAGTTTTCTTTGTAACACTGAGAAACGATTTTGTATTTTGTGGTATTATTCTTTTCTAAGGTCTTATCTTATAAGATGAACTTTAATTTTATGCAAGGTTTTATTATAACATTGTGAGCATGATATAGATGTAAATTTCTCTGCTCAGAGTGGTTTTATATATGCTTGATTATATCATTCATTACATATCTTATAAATTTACATTTTTTTTTTCCTTATATGATATGAAGGTCGTTTTTACTCCATATCAGTGCATTAATTGCTTTGGATTGTAAAGAAGCATTTTCTCTCTCTATCTCTCTCTTTCATTTACTTATTAATTTTGCATTATTATTATTATTATTATTATTGTTATTATTATTATTATCACCCCCCCCCCCCCCCCAATCCCACACATGACATAACTCTTGCACATCCATGTTACTCTCTCCACTTCCCCTGCTCCCTTCTACCCCACTTCCTCCGCACACACAAACAAACACACGCACACACACTCAACTTCGCTGTGATTCACACATGTTGCTAGTCGTGGCCCGATTACCTGATGTAATTTTACAGACACAAACGTCAGGAGCACAAGAACCCCTGATGAAATATAAAGAATCAGAAATATAAGAAAAGGTATCAAGGACCACATCACATTTACATCGGCAAAAAGCTTGTGGCATGACCATACTTGCCTCCATGGCATGTATGTACATGTCAACTTGGAATTGAGTCCAGACATGTACATACAAGCCAATCAGTGTCTAGGGGTGAAACAGAAGTGTAAGAAGATAAATAAAAAGTATGTACAGGATGTTGGTATCAGCTCAGATAATGGTGAAGGACTTGACATTTCCTATTGCCATTTTCTAACTTTGTATTTCTAAATCAATCCAGGTGTTGTTGGCATGATTGGGTTCGAGACCAGTGCCTATGGCGGAGCGCGGTGAGGGGACCGCAGGGGGGTCACACTCACGAGCCACCACCAGTGGGGCCCACACTGCGGCAACCAGGAACAGGTAAGTGGACTGGATTTAAGTTCAGCAACTATATGTATTATTTAGGTATTCATCTGGTTTCTGTCAGAGAAAATATACTTATACTAGTCACAGATTGGGATGAAAAAGAAATTGATCAATCAAATGGTAGGGATCTAGCCATCCAGACATATTGGTTACATAGTGGAAAGAATCATCCTTTCTGAGTGTACTTGGCTGTTCAGTCTCTATCATTATTACAATTATTTTGATTATGTTGTGCAGAAATCAGCTGGTTGGGTCAGGAGTGGAGGGGTTGGAGGCTATCGGGAGTCCCCTACCCCTACGGAAGCGTAAGAGTGGCATCACTGAAGTTGTACACACAAAGAGAAGAAATAGTGACAGCCAACACGAGGCAACAGTGGGTTGTAATACTGTCAGTCCCAACTCGGCTAGCACAGCTGGCAGCACGACCAAGAGGAGGAGAGTTACCAGCAATAGTAGCAACAGTGAAGCACGAGACGCAGTAAGTGTGAAGAATTGTAATACAGAAGTAGTAAAGGACTTTCAAAGTTATAAGGATTTAACACTAAGAAATTTTGAAATGTGTGACTTTTTAATTGTGTTGGAATTGTAATGAAGACCAAGAATTATCTGTTTTTGACAATAAGAGAATATAGTTTTTTTATGAATTTAATTTATATGTTCTGTTAACTTTAAAAGGATAGTGGCGATTGTGGCTTGGAGAGCCCGGCAAGCAAACGTCCGCGCCGGGGCAGTCACCTAGAGAGCCGGAACCAGTCATCTGCCAGCCTGGCCGCCAACGCACCCAGCACACCCACTCGCAACCAGG